TAACTTCTTGTTATCAGAGACTACCTAAGACCAGCAAGGAGAAATTGAGTCAAGCAGTGATAATGCGTGAAGAAGATTTTTCTTTTGGTTAAATCCTTTCTTTGATGATTTTCCAATGATTTCACTGTACCCAAAAGTGATAAGCCTTTCCTACAAGTACAGAGAAAGATTTGCTTGCACATCATTCGGTCAGACTAGACTCTGTACTGTTGGCTGACCAACTTTCAAATTTTTCATCCCTGAATTGCTAATGGACAAATTTCAACAGTGGAAGCTCTCCAAATTAATTCAAGAAATTTAGCAGGTTAATGGTTAAATTGTAACTATTAAGGTATCAACAAAGTAAACGAAAAAGTAAAATTTTCTTTTTGATTACAGACCCCAGTGATAGCCCTGGTAGGTAATGATGCTGGTTGGACACAGATATCAAGGGAACAAGTGCCAATGTTTGGAAGTAATGTGGCTTGTCAGTTAGCTGTGAGTACATTGTTTTGTATCTAATAAATGCACTACATGTTTCAAATCCTATTCATTGTGTTAAACCATCTGTATAATTAAGATCAGTACAATGTTTTACCTATTGACAACAGGTTGGTGAATTTCAGTGCTTGGCATGGTATATGTTATTTTTGAGGATTTGATTGATACATTCATTTTCATCCACTTCCTGTTCCAAACCAGTTGGCAAAAACTAGTTTCTACTGAAACAGTATTCTGAAGTATTTCATAATCATCTGCTATTGCATTACTTAAAAATACTGTTATCCTTTTCACTTATAAGAAGATGCGTACATTTTACGACTCACAGTATGGTATTTGTATATGTAACATTTATACTGTCTCTGGAGTTTCTGGGTTTAAGAGCATTTTTGCCAGTTTTATTTCAGAAGTAACAAAATAAGATACAGCACTGGTGTTGAAAGGTTAAAATTAACACAAAATCCATCAAAATTAATTAGAGGTAACTTGAGTGAACCTATGTTTTGTGAAAGGAATACAAACTATTTTGTTTTGTTTAGCATATATTATATATGCAAAATAACATTCAACATTTTTTTTTCTTTTTTCAGTTCACTGACTATGAGACAGTTGCCATAGGATATGGAGGTAGGGGCCTCAGATTGGATCGTAGTAAAGATGATAAAATCAAAGAGGTTCTGGAAGAGGCCATTAAACTTAGTAGAAATGGGGACAGTGTACTAGTCAATGCTTTAATAGGAAAAACAAATTTTAGGGAAGGCAGTATTTCTGTATAGATTGTAACGATTCACTGGTCTGCCTTGAAGCAACTGTATTTTGTAATTTTTTAAAGCTGCATATCTTCAGATTTGTGAGAATTGCAATAGAAATTTAAAATTTGATCTAATGAGTCAAAATGGCATTAAGTGTACTTAAGTGATTAATGTAGCTTGAGGCACTGACTAATACGGTAATTACTATACATGGACATTACATTGAACAAAATTTGCATTTTTCTCTTACCCAGATACTGTTGTTGATGAAATGAGTAAATTCTTGCATATTTTTCATAATACATGTACATTTAAAGTTTCAATTTTTATACATTTCTAAAATTATAGATTTATTTTCTTACATATGCCTTTTTTTGGAAGATTTATTTTACACCTATGAAGGCTTGGTGCTTTACACTAATATCATAATTCTATTTAATTTTTCTAAATGGTAACCATGACGTTCATGGGGGCATGTATGCACAGAATGTATTAAGATAAGTTTAACATATCTTTGAATCTTGAAAAACAAAAAAACATTTAAATTATAATTAGTTTTGTATGTTACATATATATGTTAAAATCGATATATTTTTATGCCACCGCAGCATCTGCGATGCGGTGGCATATAGCGATTCACCTGTGTGTGTGTGTGTTTGTGTGTGTGTTTGTGTGTGTGTTATATAGATTATATAGTGAACTTTAAAAATCTTCTTGTGAAAAACCACTAGTCCAATTTCAACCAAACTTGGCAGGATTGTTCCTTGGGTGAAGGGCTTCCAAAGTTGTTCAAAGAATTTCATTCCATGCAGAAATCTGGTTGCCATGGCAACCAAAAGGAATTATAAGAATAAATTTAAAAAATCTTCTTGTAAAGACCCAAAAGGCCTAGAGCTTAGATATTTTACATAAGGCATTGTCTGGTAGACCTCTAACAAGATTGTTCAAATTATAGCCCTTGGGTCAAAATTGGCCCCGCCCCGAGGGTCATTGATTTTCACTATGTACATATAGTAAAAACTTAAAATACCTTCTTGTAAAAACCCAAAAGGCCTAGAGCTTAGATATTTTGCATAAGGCATCTTCTGGTAGACCCTTACCAAGATTGTTCAAATTATAGCCCTTGGGTCAAAATCGGCCCCGCCCCGGGGTCATTGATTTTCACTATATGTACATATAGTAAAAACTTAAAACACCTTCTTGTAAAGACCCAAAAGGCCTAGAGCTTATATATTTTGTGTGAGGCATTGTCTGGTAGACCTCTACCCAGATTGTTCAAATTATAGCCCTGGGGTCAAAATCGGCCCCGCCCCGGGGGTCATTGGTTTTCCTTATATGTATATAGTAAAAACTTGTAGTAAAAACTTCAAAAAAAATTCTTCTAGCAATTAACAAATGCTAGAGGTTAGATATTTTGCATGAAACATTGTGTAGTAAACCTCTAGCAAGATTGTTCAAATTATAGCCCTGGGGTCAAAATTTTTCCCCTGCCCTTGGGGTCATTGATTTCAATATATACATATAGTAAAAAATAAATAAATCTTATTGTCTGATGGTACAAGGCTTAGAGCTTTAATATTTGTTAAATTATATCATCTGAAGGTACTCTACAAAAGTTATTCAAATTTTGCCTCTTGTGTCAAAATTAGCCCCGCCCCCTGGTGGCCATAGGTTTTCCTTATATGTATATAGTAAAAACTTAAAAAATCATCTTCTCTAAATTTACAAAGGCTAGAGTTAAGATATTTTGCATGAAACATTGTGTAGTGAACCTCTGGCAAGATTGTTCAAATTATAGCCCTGGGGTCAAAATTGGTTCCGCCCCGGGGGTCATTGATTTTCATTATGTACATATAGTGAAAAAATAAAAAATATTTTTGTCTGAAGGTACAAGGCATAGAGCTTTGATGTTTGATATATAATATCATTTATAGGTCCTCTACCAAAGTTGTTCAAAATTTTCCCCTGGTGTCAAAATTGGCCCTGCCCGGGGGCAGTGATTCTCATTATGTACACATAGTAAAAACAGAAAATAAACAAATGTTTTCTGAATGGAGAAAGCTATAGCTTAGATATTTGACTTGAAATGTTGTTTGGTGGACCTGTATCAAAATTGTTTTGAATTAAACCCTTAGGTCAAAATTATGCCTTGCCCAAGGGGACAGTGACCTACTTTCTTGTCCTTTGAGGTACAGCAATGACATTTTGACCATGTACACAGTTTTAGTTGTAAAATTGAACTTTGATATCAGGTGACCTAGATTTTGATGATGTGACCTACTTTCTTGTCCTTTGGTGTACAGCTATGAAATTTGAACCATGCGGTGGCATAGCATTTTTCTCAAATGCAATCTTGTTAATCATGTTTTACTTAGAAGATGTCATGGTTTTCATCTTGCAAATTAGGGAACTGTTGCACATGCAGTGTTCATACTTGATTGAGGTTTTTTGACATGTGGAACTGGAAATCTTTCTCTGAGATTTGTCTACCATTTGATGTAGGTCTATACCAATAACATGTGTGCAAAATTTCCGATCGTTCTCTCCCTCCATTTTTCTGCAATCATTTTTGTTGTGCAAAATGACGCAAATATGAAGTGTTGCAATGCTTTTCAGTCAAATCGGGCTAAAAAATCACATAAAAAAATTGATGTTCTGTTTAATTCAGAGTAAATTTCTTTATTTCGCTTTGATTTTTTTTTCATGAAAGTGCTTCACTAGATCAATGTTATAATTTTTAGGTTATAGAATTTTTTACCTTTAAAATGGTGATTGTTACTTTGTCAGTTGAGGAAACCCATTTTAGGGGACACAATTATAATTGCATATCTTTAAATTGTTACCTGCTAAGTGTGCATCAAAGAGGGCATGAACATTTAACAAATAGCCCTTGTTTGTTATATACATTGTATTTTAAATGCTTTTTTTCTGATTATTTCTATCTATCCTGTGATATTCATGGTCATTTTGAATGTTTGCATATCTTAGGAGTTCTGTCGTAATTCTTTCATTGTGTAAATTTAATTTTGAATGTGTGTGATGATGAGTGTAACTGTCTGTATGTAACAGAAAATGATAATTTCTTCATGCATGTGATAATTTACATGTATCTATGTTTCTTGGTGTTTCTGTTCAAATATATATATACATGTATATGAACAAATTGTACAAAACTGCCTTAACTGTAGCTATGTATACAAATTAAAGAATATATTAGAACTGTGAGTCAAAATTTGTTTTTTGGCCAAGGTGACAGTAATAAAGATTTAAGTTTATCAGGTATTTAATAATGAAACAAGACTACAATAGTAATACTGGGAAATTTAACCTTCAACTTAAAACAATTTTGTTCTTTCTCCAGTTTATTATTCCTAAGAAAATGTATTGAATACATATACAATATAATAAGACGTAAAACAATTTACAACTGTTTATATCAAAAACAATAAAAGTTAGCAAATACAGTAAAACATGTGTTAAAGACCACATCCATATGAAGAACACCCTGTAAAAAATGGCAATTTTTCTGTGACCTCCATTTATTAGATACAGTTACCTCCAAATAAGGATCACTTGTCTTTTAATGCCATATTCTCACTCCCCTTTAGATTGGCTTTGTTCACAGGTGTGACTGTACATGTATCAATAAAAGTAATTGTGATTAATATAAAAATGATTACCAAATAACGCTGTAATACTGTATATATGGGTTGTTCAACTAATCAAATTGATTTTTTTTTTTTTGGGGGGGGGGGGGGAGGGTTTACCGCACCAACACAGTATAGGTGATATGGTGACTTTCCAGCTTTACTTGTGAAGGAAGACCTCAGGTGCCCTTTGTACATTATTTCAGGCACAAACCAGCTACCTGAGTAGAACCACCAACATTCGGTAAGCTAGCTGGATAGCTTTCTCACAAGTAGAATCTGACCATACTTGTGCTGTTCCAACCTACAACAGTGAGTGCCAAGTGGTTTGAAATCAACAACCTTTACCACTTACATGAAATTTTCTAACCAACACAGATCACAAAAAGTCATATGGTAAAGACATCGGCAGGGATTATTAACAGTAACAAAATAATGTAAAAAGACTCCTATCACTAATGTATTTCTATTTTCATTTTGGCCTTATGGCAATTCATATAAATTTCCTAAGTCAGAATTTTCGTAACAAGAATCATTATAATTTATTACTATTTGGAAATATATTAATCAGAACAACAAGAAGTGAGAATAAACACCAAAACAACTCAATAATACAGGTCAAAATTATTGATATTTGCTTAAAAGTGCATATTGCATCTCTACATCAAAGATGTGTCTTTGTCATTGATGATGCACCCTACCATAACATCCAATTAGATAAATGCACAACGATAAAAGATTTGATAGCTGAGATGATCAGAAATGACCTAAGAGGTAGGTGTGTACAAGTAAGCAACACAATACAGATCCAAAGTATAAACCAACAGCACCACAACAACACTTAAGCACTTTCACAGTTACACCAGAATGTCTGAAGTGTTTGAATTGAAGGAGGTATAAGGAAAAGAAAAGGAAGAAAAGAATGATGAAACAAGCATTGGAACTTAACACAAGTGCCATGTTGGCCAAGCATTACTATGATGACCTGGGCCTCGTTGCTTTCTGTGCACAGTGTTGGACACTTGTACAAAATACCACTGGCACATATAGATACAAAACAAATCTGTACACTTCTACAATATATTGAGGGTTCAGACCGCAAAACTGCAATAACTTATATGAGATAAAGAAGGACTTACAACAGTTTTGCGTCAACCCTTGGTACATGAAATGTGATCAATCAATCAATATGAAATCACATGTATATATACATTTTGCACAAAAAATATCAAAATAATATAAAAAATCTAAATAAATTTCACAGTATTTTTAGCACTTTTAAGAACTTCTATTTGTTTTTCAATCCTGCATGGAATTATAAATTAGATGAGGATTCTGACTCCGTTGGCGCTAGTGCCACAGGTACGGTGCTTCCACAGGGTCCTTGAAAGTGAAATCTGAAAAATATACATAGAAAACCATAATCACAAATATTGCCTTTGATTTGACCTTGGTTTTAAGAATTGTTTATACTAGTTTAATGAAATTAATAACTTTTAATAAAACTTTTTTGAAATTATGAATAAAATGAGATAAATTATTACCCAAATCCTGTTGTAGCAGGAGTTTCTTCAATGTTAAATTCCGCCACTGGCACACCTCTAGAGGCAACCATGGGGGCGTACATGGCTGCAGGATACACAACAGATGATGTTCCTACCTAAAAATAGAATTTACGACAAGCTTATGACATCAGTATATATATCTAGGTTAACATTCTCACTCATGCAGTCAAACCAATCAATGTACTGTAACTTGCTCTATTTTATTATTTTTTGAATCCCTCGCGCTAAAAAAAGGTCAGTTCTGAATTAAAAAGGGGGAAAAAAAAAACACTACAAATAATTTTGCAGGATAAGAATTAGTTCCAATTTTACTAGTTGGCACCACCTTAAAAATGCAATCCTTGATTCTGCACCAGTTATTATCTGTTTCTCTGTCAACTTAACCTCATGAATTATTTAGTTTATTACAGCATTATTATATTATATTAGTATACAATTTATCATGATTATCAATTTTCCTCTGATTTGTTTGCTTAAGCGATGGATCTTGTTCATCGATTCGCTCATCGTGTAACATAGACATTTAGTGCTTCTTAACAGAATGTTTGTATGACTTCACATTAAAATATATGCACTGCCATTCATTACCATTATTACACAGTCATGAAAGTGGCACAGGTTTGTGATAATTATTTAAGACTATATTTAAGTCTTTTCATTTATGAAAATTAAACAGAAAACAAAAATATAGGATTTCAAAGTATTCTTACCACTAGGCAGAGATCACAAGCTGTAAGTTCATTGTCTGCAGCCGTCAGTACCTCCGGGTATAATCCCTCCCCAAACCATACAACATGGGGTCTTAGTAATCCACCACAGGAATCTTTCTTACATCTGAAGGAAGAATAAGGGATTATTGCCATAATTATTTTCAATACTAGTTGGCATGGGCTATGTACTGTTGATTGCTCAATTTCAGTCACTCATTCAAAGACTTGGTACTTTTTTTAGAGCTGTAATTGCTTCGGTGTGAAGCATATCAACGATATATCAATATCGGGTGACAAATATCAATGATACATCATATATTTATTGATAATTGCCTATCATTACTTGTCTGTCATTCACGTTCATACCTGTTTAAACTAGAGCTATCACTAAAGGTGATTAATACCCCCACCAGCAACTTTGACTTTTTGAAAATAAGTGGTCTGAAGAAAAATTTGAACTCGGCTTAACCTTAATTGCAATACCAACCTGGGTCTTCATACAAACTTGCTATACATAAAGTTTGATTACAATATCTCATTCCTAACTCCTAGTTATTGTCTGAAACAACTTTTCTATTTTTAGTAATGGTGACCTTCACTTTGGCCCCAGGGGGTCTAATTGCAATACCAACTGGAGTCTTCATATAAGCTTGCTTTACACCAAGTTTGATTACAATAGCTCATTTCTAACTCTACATACTGTCCCGAAACCATTTTTCTATTTTTAGTAACGGTGACCTTGACCTTGGCACCAGGGGGGTCAAAGTGCAACACCAGCTGGGGCCTTCATATAAGCTTGCTATACACCATTTCAGTTTTTTTAAATTCTTTTCTGCAAAAACATGGATAAAATGACACTTCCTTGATAATTGAAATGCATATTTACCATCTGACCAAAATTGCTCAGGTAATTTTTTCATACAGGAGATGTAATACTATACACTTTATATGCTGCTGATCATGATAATGTGTTACCTTGGAAGATCTTCTTCTTTTATTCTGGCATCTTCAGCAAATTCATCTGGTGCTCTGCAATTGTGACAATGTTTTATAATTATGTTACATGTAGTTTCGTGTTTAATTACCTTAAAGTGGATGGGTCTACATCAGGCACATTTTCCATAATTTTTCCAAAATTTGAAATTTAATATTATTGAAAAATATAGTAGTCTATTATATAATCTATAAATAGCTTTGAAATGCATTTTCTGATTGGCCAAGAAGTAACTTTTTTTTCCATAAAAAATAACAGGTCATTATCAGATTATTTTCACTGTTTTTTTTTTCTCTCTAAAAATGAATTTTCAGAACCAATTTCTTCCCTTTAAATAGATTTTCTGGATATCTCTCAAAAGACACGAGGGTATGACATGACGTCAAGCCAAGTTTATTGTTATTATTCAGAAAATCATTGGGTGACTTGCAAATAAGTCAAATCAGTCTTTTTTTTAAGGAACCATTTTTATATTTTAAAGAAAATTATAAATAGGGTTTAATAATGAAAAAGAAAAAAAGAAATAAATAAACAATTTTAGTCATAATCAATTTCAGATTTCATAAGCCATATAAAAGCTATTTGTAAATTACATAATAAAACAGATATGTACTTTTTAGCTGGTAAATATGATGTGATATGTAGTGAAAAATTAATATTGATCAATTGGTCAATATCATTTCTTTCTGTACTATCATATTCACCAGCTAAAAAGTCTATATTTATATAATATCATATAATAATGAATATTCTTATATATATATTGCTTGAAAAATATATTGATTAATTTAAGTTCTAAATGATTCAGTATGAACATTTACATATGATAAATAATAATGTTCTGTTCTAGAACAATATCTTGTCTTCTATATGAATATATTTAATATTAATTCATGTATTCATGTATCTCACACTTGCAAACAACATCCATGTACAACTCTTTTATAGTTTGAAGTTCTTGAGGGTACAACGGTATCAAAGATTCAATGTCTCAAGGTTCAACTGTATTTAATTAATTCTGTCTTTCCATAAATTCACAAACTATAATTTCATCATTTGAACATCAGCATAATGAAAACCAAAATAATTATTATGCTGAACTGACAGTGAAAAAAAAACAAAAGAAAAGCAATAAAGACAACAAAAAACTATTTAATTGTAACCAATAAAAACAGCTACACCTTGACTCAGGTAAAATTTTAGTTTTAAAGAAATAAAATTTTATAATATTAAAACAACTTCATCTTAGCTCAATTAAAATTTTAGTCTTCAAGAACTTAATACCAGAAAGGTATTTTTATACAATGCAAATCTTATATGCATCAGTAAGTTTGGGAAATCTTGTTCATCTGATGTTAGATTGAAATTCATTTACAAGGTTTAGCACCTGGAGTTAACTATCACTCTTCCTGCATAGTTTTGACATGTAATACTAGATACTGACAATAAAATGGTTTGTTTAGTCGATGTGAATTATAGTGTTTCAACGCATTTCAAAGTTGTTTATAGTATGTCATTCAGATACTAAATAAACAGTTTTATTAATCATAATTATAGAGAAATGTCAACACTTAACTTTTCCATGCACTCACATAAAATCATTTTATCAAAAGTCCTAGACTAAAAGTATGTCTTCAAGTGTGCCTAAACTAATATAGAGGTTTCTGCAATGGCCCCAATATATCAAAATAACCATTTTGATTGGGGAAGAAATAGGAAGGAATAGATTACTGAAAATATTACTTTCTAGCAACATGTACATGTATAACAGTCTGAACAAAAATATAGATACGTAAGATATGTAAGTGAAGGAAAAACTGTGAATTAGTCCATAATGGAAGGTCTGTAATACCATTAAAGTGACATTTAAAATACTCATATTTCATTATCAAGTTTAGTTGAATAGCCTATATATTTCAAAAGATTGACTGTTATAATGGTGATTGACTTACAGTTGATATTGGAAAATATTTAGAATAAAATATAAATTTGCCTAAAATATAAAAAGATTGCCCCTCTCTTTTTATAGTTTGAATGTTACATAAATAGTTACAGAAAATACCTTAGGCCATGTGAGTTATTTTTAATTCATTCTAAGTAAATTATAAAACTGAGAGGTATTATTGCAAAATGTAAACTTAATTTGAATTTCACCCATTCACTCAGTATATACCCTTTGATGGGCATAATGTCACCATTTCATTATCAATCAATCAATCAATCAATCAATCAATCAATCAATCAATCAATCAATCAATATCAGCAGAAAATAGCTTATATAGCTAGTGTTATTATGTTTAATGTCACCACCTATGAATAAAGATTATCTTATCTTATCAACATGACATATTATGATCAGAGGTAATTTCTCACCCTTTATCTCGTAATGCCTCGCAAATTGGACTGTCATAATTCTTGGCTATATCTCCACACTTTGTACATCTAGTTGTGAATAAATTACCTTTAAAAAAAAATTGAACAGTAACGTTAAAGATAAAATATATAAAATGTTTTCATATATCCTTCATATATTATATATCCTTCTTCGAATTTGAAAACTGTCCATAAGAAGTTCAATATTGAGATAAAAGGTTACAGGTGTAATTTTTTGTAAAGCATGTTCATGACTGTGCAGGCTAGCCAAGCGCTCTTGTTGTGAAGCAACATTTTCACGCTGGTGGCTAAAGTCTGTTATTAGCGCCTCTAAATTTTAAGTGGTGAAAGCTGCATGCTAAAATATTTCAAGAAAATCAATCTTGAGAAAACTGTTATAAAATGTTAAGACAAGTAAAAATATTAAAGATTCCAGTAATAATTCACATGTTATGTGTTATTAAAGACTGATTTTGCAGTATTTATCACCATATTTTTACAGCATGACTAATGCAGTAAGGAGTATTTATACATAGTTTTACCTCTTTATGGTAATTTTCATGGATTGCAGTTGCAATGTGTTCATTTCACAATTTTTTACTTTAAATATAGTTTCAAAATTTTCATGAAAATTAATATGGACCTGAAGGCGTGCTGCTTTAAATAACAAGGAGAAAATGAAAGCTTTAAAAAAATATTACCATGCAATTCTATGATATTTTCCGAGCCAGCTCGCTTATGAAGTTCATCAATATTTTGTGTCACAATCACCACCCTACGTCCTTGACCTTTTAACCTCTTCTCACATTCAGCTATAGCAATATGGGCCTGAAATACCAGAAATAATTAAAATAATTGCTGATTGCACACATGTTTTAATCCTAACCATGCAAAATTTGTTTAAATGAAACTGCCCGACAAATTTGAAATTTAGGGACTGAAATATCTAAATCACTATTATATAATTAAGCAGTTAACATTGCACAGTACTGTCAGACTGTGCAAATCATCAGCCTGTTCTAACTCAGTACTGGCATTAAGCACAGGAATTTTCATACATGCATCTTGCACTGAAATGAGGTAAAAACTATGTTAAAAGGGAGCTAATTAACGGGTCTGTCTCTCTACTCTGTGACTGGAGGTTCAAGCCGTAACATGGTATTATAAATGGAATATCATACATGGCCTTTTTAGTTACATTGAGAGGCAAACTTGAAACTGCTGTCAAAATACCTCAATGACTTTGCTTTATACTGGGAATAGACAAATACAATGTATGTTTATGCTAATACATGTAGCAATGATGTTGGCCAAATAAACACATAGAATCTGACATTTTGACCCAAAAGGAATTATAAATTCAACCTTTTAACTGTAAATAATTTCTACAAATAAACAACATCCTATTTTACTGAACAAAAATTAGACAATTTCATGAAAACTGCTGAACCTAAATAAACACAAACAGCTAGAAGACCCAGCAATTATAAGAAGCTCTCTTGATAGCTGTAGAGTTTTGTTATAGATATAAGACAAAACTTGGTACCTTATTTGGTTGTTTAGAGCCCATCACCTCACGTCTGTAATGATAGAATTCCCACACCAACGATGGATTGGATTCAAATGCCTCTGGAGTTGCAAGTTGCTAAAAAATAAGAATTTAAGAGTTAATGGCAAGCTACAAAGAAAAATCTAATCAATACTTGATACATTACTTTCAACATGTTTTTTTTTTCTTTCCCAAAATGCTATTGAAATACAAATGAGCTTTGCGACCAGCATGGATGGGTTTGCGACCAGCATGGATCCAGACCAGCCTGCACCTCCACACAGTCTGATCAGGATCCATGCTGTTCGCTATCAGTTTCTCTACTTGTAATAGGGTTTGTAAGCGAACAGCATGGATCCTAAACGGACTGCGTGGATGCGCAGGCTGGTCTGGATCAATGCTGGTCGCAAACCCATTATGTTGGTTTTGTCATTACTTTAACTTTATGTAGAGCACTGACCACTATTCAGGCCATGATTATAAATGATATAAATGTTAAAAAATATATAATGCAATATCATGACATCTTGTCTTCAAAATATATAAAGAATGCAATGTCCTTTTATCACATAGTGATACCCATGCCCCTTTTGTTACTATGTAAAACTGGCACTGCCCTGCATATATAAAGCACAGACGCTTGTGGTTTGGAGCTCAAAACGCCTTTAAAATCCAAATAAAATGCATATTTGTCAATCCCAGGACATGTACTGATCATATATATCAAAAAATCTTAATATATGCCGTTTTGAAAAAAAATCATATTTCAACAACTATAATAATACACAAGATAAAAATGTTCGCCGGAAAAAATCCGCACCCCTACCGTCATAATCACCATGTATTTTAATCCATTTCCAATATTTTCACATAATCCTTTGGTCTATCGACACAGAAGATATAATTCTTCACGATGATGGTCAATTTTAAACTTCAACGGTAATATAAACAACGCAACAGCCGAAATAAACATCAATATTATCGCCGTTTTTTTCCAACGACAAAATCTTTCGATAAATTCAATGGACCAGACGGCTATGAACGAAGCTATCCGATTATGGGGTACGTTACGATACCGAAATCAACTTGATTTCGGTAAAGTTACCGAAATCAACTTTTCATTACCGAAATCAATTCGTAAAAACCAACCTAATTAAAATATTGCTTTTATTTCTTCATTATTTGATGAAAATTAGTGAAATAGACTTTCAGTTAAAAAATCTATTGAAAATATTTTATTTTAATGATGTTATTAACAAAAATGTAATTATTGAGTTAATTCCCTTTGTTCTAAACAACCAGTTATATGTATAGCATTACCGAAATCAGCTGTGAAGTTTAAATTATGTATATAAAATACATGTATAATACATATATAGTGATTATTTAAGATAATTTATGTTTTTGAAATTAAAGGAAACCAGACTGCATTGATGAGAGCGTTCAGTTGCAACTGAATAGAATTCGCGTGTAATATCTGGGGAGGCGCTCTCGTCATGGCCCATCTTTTTTCTTTTCTTTTTCTTCTTTTTTTAAGTAACATAGTAATAAAGTAATTAATAAACAAATAACTAAATAAATAACTAAATAAATAAATACTAAACGTGCGCTGTCACTGATGCTTATACACGTGCTATAATTTCAATGTATAGGCACGAAAAGGAGGGGGGGGGGTAAATAAAATGTTAAGTTAATAACTTTTTTTATGTTTAATTATTGTACATTATTTGAGTATAAAAGAACAATGATGCGTGTAAAGCATTCATAGACAAGGAAACAACAATAAAATAAATGTTATTCGGGCCTATATTAATGTGCAAGGAACTTGCCGAAATTTATAACGAACAGAACATATCTTCTATTTCCACCGATTATTAATAGAATATGGAACATGGATATGAAAAAAGTGATATATATTCATTTAACACGGTACAGTATTAATGAACGAAGTAAAAAAAAAATTCTCTAACCTATGAAATGAACTTTCGAACAGGGGTTGATTTACTTTTAGTCATTATGCAATAAAATATATTGCAGGTTTAGAGATATTTGGTACAGAAATTATGTATGTACAGCAACCATTTATTACAAGACATTAGCACAAGCATGTTATATATCTGCACGTGATTATCGTGCATAACAATTTTCTTATCAAATAGTATTCATAAAAAGCTCTGATCGGACTATGATGGAAAAATATGATACTCTGTAATATGAGTTAAATCTCATTATAAATTTTGTACTTGTATGATTTATGAGTTTGAATACAGATATACGTATAATTCGACTGCTCTAAAAAAAATCCATAAAACATTGTATAATGTATCAGGCAGTAAAATTGGAAAGTTTGTGTCTTTCTTTTATTGAACAGTTAAACTATATATCAACAAATCGCTAACATATGTTATGGGGACTGTTTATTATAATATTTTTATGTTTTAGTCATTTATTTAAATGTTTATTACGAAATAAACCGATGGTTCATTATAATATTTTATCTTTACCATACATTGTATGTCAACTGTACCACCTGTCTTAATTACTTCACACCTTACTTAATACAGTAATACACAACGTGTCATATCGTACAAGTTACAACATTACATAATTGAAATTTGTCAGTTTAAAATGTTCCATCATATAAATATATATCAGTCAATCCATAAATTTATGCTGTTTACAGATATGAAATTTAAAATGATTATAAATCGATCAACATAAAATCATGACTTTTCAACTTTTCCAATAAGTAGAATATGTAGTTATTAATATAGTATAAAGTATCCGGGACATCAAAATAATGCATCAATTTGGAACAACTGATATGCAATTTGGTTATAATAATATCAAAGCACCTTGTCTCATATACTGTAATGTTTTCTACGGAAATGTATAGCGACCACCCCTACATGTTAATTAAAACAGATCTTTTGACAATTTATTTAATATAACATTATATTTTTACCAGCTTACTAGATCTGAAATATTTATACTATAAAACTATAAAAAAAAGTCTTTCTAAAGTTTCCATGCGCCGATGTATATTAAAGGATTGCGGTTAACGAGTATGTAATGTCAACTAGCACCTCCATTGTCCGAGCACGTGTATGTTTGCTCTTTAAAGTAAAGGTGTTATGATTACATGATTAATGGCAACCGCTACGTCTTTTTATTTTAATCAAATCATAATCATTGGATTTAAATTAAATACTGTGATAATTTCCAATCAACTATTTTAATAGTGATCTCAATTAGGCGGATAACTTCAAACACAGTTTTGTTTAATCTTGTATTTTGAAATCATTAAGAAACATCAAAGAGATGATACGCTGCTATGTTATCTGACTAAAGGGAAAATTTAAACATTGAAAATATGCGATATGAATTCAAAGTTTAAAACTCACTCAAATATCTTTTTCATAGACTTCTGAAATTCATGCAAATTATTTAGGGATTGTTCTCATCTTTGAAATGAAATCTGATTTGATTTCGGTAATGCAACACATTAATAACAAGGGAAGTAATCATGATATAATATACATATCCATCTATAACATCATCATTTTTTTATAATTAAATATTATTTTCCTTTGTTTATGGTTCAGTTTGAATGATTTTATATTAATTAATAAAACAAGATCTAATAAAATGTTTATTTTAAGTTTTACAAGCCGATTTCGGTATGGTAACATATATTTCGGTTCGTGACAAATCAGGGAAGTATTCTTGATATTTAGATATTTGTTTCTAATTTCATAATTATTAATTATTTCGAACTGATTTTTTGCATGAAAGTCAAACTAAACCTATTGTAATAGATTATAATAGAAAAAATATAATAAAACGCTTAATTGTGATTGTACAAGCAGATTTCGGTATGGTAACATTTATTTCGGTTCGTGACAAATCAGGGAAGTAATCTTGATATTTAGATATTTGTTTCTAATTTCATAATTATTTATTATTTCGAACTGATTTTTTGCATGTAAGTCAAACTTAACCTATTGTAATATATTATAATGGAAAAAATATAATAAAACGCTTAATTGTGATTTTATAAGTTGATTTCGGTAATGAAAAGTTGATTTCGGTAACTTTACCGAAATCAAGTTGATTTCGGTATCGTAACGTACCGCGATTATGTGGTTCCCAAACTTAAAAGCGCTGCGCATTTTGCACACGGCAAAGCTGGGGCCACATAATCGGATAGCTTCGTTCATAGCCGTCTGGTCCATTGAATTTATCGAAAGATTTTGTCGTTGGAAAAAAACGGCGATACTATTGATGTTTATTTCGGCTGTTGCGTTGTTTATATTACCGTTGAAGTTTAAAATTGACCATCATCGTGAAGAATTATATCTTCTGTGTCGATAGACCAAAGGATTATGTGAAAATATTGGAAATGGATTAAAATACATGGTGATTATGACGGTAGGGGTGCGGATTTTTTCCGGCGAACATTTTTATCTTGTGTATTATTATAGTTGTTGAAATATGATTTTTTTTCAAAACGGCATATATTAAGGTTTTTTGATATATATGATCAGTACATGTCCTGGGATTGACAAATATGCATTTTATTTGGATTTTAAAGGCGTTTTGAGCTCCAAACCACAAGCGTCTGTGATATAAAGAGGATATTTGTTTGTTTTGCATGTAAAATTGAAATATATTACACTGAGTGAACACCAGATGCAGATTGTTGCCAAGAGTGAAAACAGAATAGTTGGTGTTCACAAATGAAATATATTTAAATCTTACATGTAATACAAATAAATTTTCTTTTTATTTCATGCTTTTTAGGTGATTTTAAGAATTTTTTACTGATTTTGCAGTGTAACATTGCGCATTCTCCTTTATGACATCATCACATCATGACATCACATCATCAATTTTGAAATGTAGTTCTGTTAAATTTCTCTAATTTTGTTACATTTTTAACATGATATATGATGACATCAACTTTCTTTTCCTAAAGAAGCAAAATTTACGTATGATGGCATTTATTTTTGCCTGTCAATCTATTTAGTTATGATATTCTTTTCATCTGCACTGAGATCTAGTCTGGCTACAGTGAAAATTAGTAGATCAGGCTACAGTGATTATATTTTATAAATTTCACTAGTGGTTTATCACAATATAATCATCTGATATATTACATTATCACATAAACCGCGGCGCAGGAGTGTAATAAAGACATTTAATAAAAACGATATTACACTAGACGATATTACACTAGTGTAATAACACTTTGACGTCACGTCATTTGCACTATAAACATAGCGTTAAAACGCGCTAATGTTAACGTTACACTATAGGCGCGTCAAAGAAAAATGACTCTTGTTAACAGTTTACCGTTCTTATTTTATATATGTGATAAATAGAATATTATATTCGTGTAGATTCAATACTAAATTTATTGAACTCGTTGAATAAAACAATATTATGCTCGCCAGAGGCTCGCATAATATGATTTTATTCAACTCGTTCCATAAATTTAGTATTAAACCTACACTCATTTAATATCCTCTATGTATTATACTGGAAAGCATGGAATAAATTGATGTAACGTCATTTGCATTATACAAATATAGCATTAAGACACCCTAAATGTTAGCATTACACTATTAAGGCATGTCAAGAATGAAAAAGGTTTACTTTCACTGTAAAGAGGTAAAGAGTTCTTATGTTGGGTATGTGATAAATAGAATATTATATTCATGTAGATTCATTACTTAATATATTGAACTCATTGAGAAAAATAATATTATGCTCACCAGAGGTTCACATAATTATATAATTTATACAACTCGTTCAATAAATTCAGTATTGAATCTAAACTCGTTAATGAGCCCCGCCATGGCAAAACCAACATAATGGGTTTGCGACCAGCATGGATCCAGACCAGCCTGCGCAGTCTGATCAAGATCCATGCTGTTCCCTATCAGTTTCTCTACTTGTTATAGGGTTTGTAAGCGAACAGCATGGATCCTGATCAGACTGCGCGGATGCGCAAGCTGGTCTGGATCCATGCTGGTCGCAAACGCACTATGTTGGTTTTGTCGTGACGCGGCTCAATTTTAATATCCTGTATGGCACAGCCTCTATACCTGAGCCTGCCATGTCCTCCAAAATCCTCCGGCACCTCTGAATGTTGGTACTCCACTTTCTGCACTCACACCAGCTCCAGTCAGCACTACTATATGTTTCGCCTTGTCAAACTTCTCACGGAACGCTGCCATATCAGAACTCGGCATTTTTTGTTCCTGAAATTTCACACATTGTAACAGAATCACAGCAAAGATTTTAATTAAAAGCTCTACAATAGTCTGCTCAGAACAGTTGTTAAGATGAATTATTCAGATTTATTGCATCAAGCTCGACTTGTTTCTGATGTTTCATTATAAAATGAAGATAAAAGGAATTTATGAGCCTGAAATATCAAAAGTTTAAATCACGTAATTTGACTTAAATGCTGAATAAATGAAATTTACAATGCATTATGAAACTACTATTGCTATGGTAAAAGGAACAAACAAGAAGCAGAATGTTTCGTAGGGTAAGAAACATGTAATATGAGGTAGCTTACATAAACATGTATGCAAGAGAAAATAATATGTAAAGATAAATTTTATTAAAAGTATGTGATGTTGAGGTATTAGGTTTTTTTTTTTTTTTTTTTTAATTTGATGTAGATCTATAAATAGTTTCAAAGTTTTATGAAATACCTTGTAATATTATCAGTAATACCAACTGTTATTAGTTTAATATTGTAATATAACATAGAAACAATGTTAGGACAAGTTTTGTGCTTTAAGTATCACACTTCTACTACTTTGAATTAATTACTCTTGACATTAAACAAAAATAAACCCATGATTCTAAATATAATGTCAAAATAAACCCATGATTCTTAACATGTCAAAATAAATCGATTATCCTAAACATAGTGTCAAAATAAACCCATGATTCTGTACATGATGTAAAAATATGCCCATGATTCTAAACATACCGGAAACGTAAAAATAAACCCATGATTCTGTACCTGATGTAAAAATATGCCCATGATTCTAAACATATCAGTAATGTAAAAATAAACCCATTCCTAACATTATGTAAACCCATGAATCTAAACATTACAAAAAACTTAAACCATGATTCTAAACATTACAAAAAATAGACCATGATTCTAATTTTATGCAAAAAAATACATGTAAACCCATGATTCTAAACATTAGGCAAAGATAGACCCATGATTATAAGTACACTGTATTACGAAAACAATAGACCCAGGATTCTAAACATTTTTCAAAAAAAAGACAAATTATTCTGAACATAATAAAATATAGACCAATGACCTATTAAACATTAATAATATGCACAAATAAACCCATGATGCGAAAATATTCTGGAACGGAATTACCACACCGATACAGTTATCTTAACAAGATATAGAGCATTATTCCAGGTGGAATCAGAAGGGAATTTGGCAAATAATGAACCAGTTAAAATGAATATGTAGAAAATTTATCTGAGAATAATATTGATATAAAATAATTATAACACAAATCTAAATTCAAGAATATAATACCTAAAGCAACGTAATAATCATAACCTATAATTAAGTATAGGTTAAAGCAGCATGCCTACAGATGAGCCAAATATTTCGATAAAATCAAACGTGAGAAAAATTTACTAAGACTTAAGGAAAAGTAAAAATATTCAAGATTTAAGCAACAACTTAAATGTTATGTGCGATTAAAGATTGATTTTTCAATATTTATAACAATATTTCTACTGCGTTTCTAACACAGTAAAGACTTTTTTCGAATATTTTGACCCAATTTTGGTAATTTACGCGAGTTGCGAGTGATGTTTGTTATGTGTAAATTGCTTGCTTTTCATTACTTCACAATATTTTACTTTTAAATACATTTTCAATTTTTTCATGAAAATTAACACAAATCTGGAGGCGTGTTACTTTAAAGTTTATAAGTACGTATTTACATTGTACAAAATTTAATTGGTCGGGCATGGTTACGATTCATTTGAAATACTACAATCCTATGAGTATTGGACAAAATAATTTCAAACACTAACTTTATGTATATATCAATTTCATAAAATGATTTTGTAAATATGTGCTTATCACTGTTACACATATACTTTACCTTGATAAATATCTTAAAGGCCTATAACACGCCAGAAATGCCTCCAGATTAGCGAAACTATTTCAAGAAAATTACACTGGATAAAAATTTATTAAGATTTTAAGAAAAAATAATAGATTCAAGTAAGCGCTGTTTTTGCATATTTTGACTTTTTTTTGGTTATTTACTTTGATTGTGTAAGTATCCCTTGAAACTTCTTTTTGCTCACTTGCTTTCAAAATTTTCATGAACATTGGCATGAATCATTCTTGAGGTATATGCTGCTTTAAAAAAAAAACCCAACTAATTTTGTATTTATAAGATCCAATGAAAGATTAAAATCATATATTTTTAAGACAGGGAGGAATCAAATTTCAACAAATTGAAACTTCCTGATTGGAAGATTTGGCAATTTTTCAAGGTACATACATAATATGCCCAACAATTAAATTATCATAGTATCACTTGACTACAAACCTATTTTATTCTCAAAAGTATTTATTTTATATAAGCTAATTATAAAATTTTATATTCATTATGTACATAGTTATGTGCATTCAATAAACATTAACATCCATTTTAAATACAAGATGGAAAAACCAGGTCTCAGGCAATTAAATTTTTTTTTTTGCTGAGCACTGTCTCAAATCTAAGGATATTCAATCAGTGTTCATTCTGTATCAGTTTTTAATCAATTAATTAGTTGTGATCTGAGTCTAAGCTTTATAGATAATTTCTTA